GCTGTTACGATATTAAGACTCCCTTGCAACAGGCGTCTTACCAAAGCATATCGCGTCATTTCATAACACTCGGGACTAACGATCCATCGGGTTCCCTAGCGGAAAACTGTATTAACTGTTATCGAACATTCATACGGTCAAGGCCTGTGAGTGCACTGTTTGCCGCTCGACGGTGCTCGATTTCACGCAATACTTGATCCATACCGGGGATCGTCCTTACGATTCTGAATACACTCTAATCGCAATATCCGAGTCACGTCGACGACGAGTCACTGTTCAGGAAAATTAATCGTAAAAATTTCTATACGCTGCCTATCCCACTTTTAATCGCGAAAGCAAAGCGCCCACATGGTCTTTCAGGGAGATCGCTGCCGCGACGCAACAATACACAACCCCCTCAGGAGGAAACGGACTGGCCCAAAGAAAGGCAGAGCTGGAATAATGACGGACAACCTGAAGAACCAAGGAAGGAAGGAGGAGAAGGAGGAATCTCCATCGACAATAGTAATGGTTAATCACGTCTTACAGGCAAACATCAATCATTCCAGAGACGGTCATGACGTCCTGCTTCAAACGATGGCGGAGGGAGACTTCGCGCTTGCGATAGTTGCGGAACCTTACACGATCCCTATGGATCATCCGCATTGGTATTCCAATGAGAGAGAATCTGTGGCTATAACGTGGAGGCAAGGCCGAGATGAGATGCCATGTACTCCATATGGTAGAGGGGAGCACTTCGTGGCGATTAGATGGGGAGATATGCTGGTGGTAGGAGTGTATCTACCACCAAGCTTGGATATGTCTCAATTTGAGGAAGCAATGGAAGAACTTGAGAGGTGGACTATCCAACACATGGATAAACCCATACTAATCGCGGGCGATTTTAATGCGAAATCCAGTATATGGAAATCCAAGGTAACGAATCTCCGGAGAACCTTGGTAGCTGAATGGGCTAGCGCACTCGGGATATGCTGCCTAAATCAGGGCAGAAAAAGTACGTGTATCAGAGCGAATGGGGAATTAATAGTTGATATTACATTCGCAAACCCAATCGCGGCAAGAAGGGTCATTAAATGGATGGTATCAGACAGAGAGTCTAAATCTGATCACCGATACGTGGAAATCTTAATAAGCCTTACGGGTATGCAGGAGTACAAAAGGAAACTCCCAAGTGTCAAAAGATGGGCAACAAAAAAGCTGGAAGAGGACATCTTCTTAGCAGCAATCCTAGCAAGTGGATGGCCAAGAAAGAACCAAGTAGTAATAGAGAATATCAGGTGTAGAAGTATGAAACCGGAATTTTTTTGTAAAAATTACACGTCTGTTTGAAAATGATAAATAATATTTTATTCAAAATAATCTCCATTGCTATTTATACATTTTTCCCACCTCTCCGGCAGTTTATGAATGCCACGCCAAAAAAACAGTTCTTTTTTTGACGCGAACCAGTTATCGAGCCATTTTCGTACATTTTCATACGTATTGAAGTGTTGTTCAGCGAGAGCGTGTCCCAGTGATGCGAATAGATGATAATTGGACGGAGCCAAGTCTTGAGAATAAGCCGCATGCGCTAATATTTCCCAACTGAACGCCTCGATCGTTTCCCTGACTCGTTTTGCTGTGTGTGATGGAGCATTATCATGAAGCAAAATGACTTTGTGTTGCCTTTTACCATATTCCGGTCGTTTTTCACATAATGCTCTATTTAAATCGATCATTTGCTGTTGGTAGCGATTAGTGTTAACGGTTTCACCAGGTTTTAGCAGCTCATAATAAATTACACCCTTCTGATCCCACCAAACACAGAGCATTGTCTTCTTTCCAAAGCGATTTGGTCTTGCCGTGGATGTTGATGGTTCGCTTGGATTCACCCATGATTTCCAACGCTTAGGATTCTCAAAATATATCCATTTTTCATCACCTGTCACGATTCGATGGAGAAATGACTTTCTTTTGTATCTGTCGAGCAGCAGTTCACAAACGGTTTTTCGATTTTCTTGCTGTCTTTAATTCAGTTCATGCGGAACCCATTTTCCCACTTTCTGAATTTTTCCCATAGTTTTCAAACGAATGGAGATGGCTTTCTGCGTTACATTCAATTGATCCGCGAGTTCTTGTTGAGTTTGAGTATCATCTTCATCCAACAAGGCTTGCAATTCGTTGTCTGCGAACTTTTTCGGTGGTTTCCCACGCTCTTCGTTTCTCACGTCAAAATTACCACTTTAAAATTTTTTGAACCACTCGAAACACTGTGTTTTACCAAGAGCATTTCACCGTAAGCTTCGACAAGCATTCAATGCGATTCTGTAGCAGTTTTCTTCAAATGATAACAGAAAACCAATGCTGTCCGCAAATCGTAGTTCGTAGGCACAAAACTCGACATGTTTAAGGTTATGAAAAAATATACCGGTGTATGGAACTTGGGTTGTTGTGTGTTGGAAATCTTCGTCAGCTGTTAGAGAGAGATGATGGCGCTGCAGATGCGGCCTTGGAGTCCCTAAACTGATAGCTAGTGCCATATATAGGGAAATTCCGGTTTCATACTTCTACACCTGGTATAGAGGAACAGGCCGAGTTCTTTCAAAAGGCACTGACAGAGTTATGTGATGTCGCGATGCCGAGAACCAAGCCGAGACCACGTAGAGCGATGCCCAGGTGGAACGAAGAACTGGCACAACTACGTACGGATCTCTCTAATGTACGAAGACAGCTCAGGAGACTAAGAAGAAGAACGGGATATTCAGAGGAAATAGAGACCCAAATGAAGCTGGAGGAATTCCGACAGGCTAGGGATAGCTTCGGAAAGGCCATCAGGAAAGCCAAAGCTAAGGCATGGGAAGATTTTGTTGTCGCTAAATGAGGATCCGTGGGGACGCCCATATAAAGCTGTTCTTGGGAAACTGAGAAGATGGGCGCCCCATACACAGAGTCTTTAGAAGAAAATGTACTAGAACGGGTACTCACTGGTCTCCAACTGTGGAGCTCCAACAGAACGGACGCGAAAGGCAGGTATTTGTCTGACTGAACTGCTAGCGCAGTTGGACTCTGCTGCCTTAATACGGGAAGCGAGAGCACATGTGTAAGGATTCATGGAGAATCCATTGTGGATATCTCCTTTGCGAATCCCGCCGCGGCTGCTCAGGTGAATTTGTGGTGGGTGGTCCCCTATGAGGCCTGCTCGGATCACTGTTATATAGAGATGGTGTTCGGACAGACGATGGCGCAAATGAAGAAGAGGACTTCCTCGCCCACGGAGATGGGCGATCAAAAGACTCGACGAGGACCTCCTCCATGTGTCCGTGATCGTGGGATCGTGGATGGGGATGGGTCAGGTGGAAGATCTGGACCTTGAGTCTGTGGCCGATCATTTACAGGAGCACCTGGTCCGGGCGTGCGACACTTCCATGCCCAGGGTAGCACCGCGTTCCAGGAGGGCTATGCCCTGGTGGACGGAAGAGCTGGTCCACCTCAGGGCGGGGGTCTCAGCGCCGAGACGCCGGCTAAAGAGGGCACGACGACGGTCCAATTGCGACGCACATGAGCTAGACCTCGGAATTGTAGAACTCCGGCAGGCCCGCGATAATCTTGGCAAAGCGATCGCCAGGGCGAAAAAGAGGGCATGGGAGGAGTTTGTCAGTACACTGAACGACGACCCTTGGGGCCGCCCGTACCGGACGGTGACACGTAAATTAAGGACGTGGACTCCACCGTACACGAAGTCGCTGCAGGCGCTTGTCCTGGAAGCGGTCCTGACGGGCCTGTTCCCTCTACCTACGGAGGAGGAAGCCCAAGAGAACGGATGGGAAGAGCCTCCTCTCCCGCTCACAGGAGTGGGTTTGTGGGGAGAGGAGGGTACAACCCGAGGAGCTCCTTCTCGCTACCAAGAGAATGTCTGAGAGGCGGGCTGCGCCCGGTCCCAGTGGCATCCCCTCGAGGGTCTGGGCTCTGGCCGTTAAGGAACTGGGAGGCAGAATACGTGGAATATTCACAGAATGCCTCAGAAGGGGGGCCTTTCCGCGCGTGTGGAAGCACGCTAAGCTTGTCCTCCTAAGGAAGGAGGGCAAGCCGGTGAATGAGCCAGCAGGTTACAGGCCCATCTGCGTCTTAGATGATGAGGCCAAATTGTTGAAACGGATCATCGCCGAGAGGATCACCAACCACCTAGATGGTAGAGGCCCGAACCTTCACCCGAACCAATTTGAGTTCGGACGGGGAAGGAGCACAATCGACACAATTCGATCGGTGAGGGAGTACATGGAGAATACCCTCTTGGATGGAGGTGTAACCATCGGAATCTGGATCGATATCCGCAATGCACTTAATTCACTCCCTTGGGGTGTTATCAGTCGGGCGTTGCGTGAACACCGTGTCCCCCCGTATTTAAGGAGGATCGTACTTGAGTGACAGATGACTCTCGTTCCCGGTAGAAAGCGGAGAGATGCAAACTAGATCGGTGGAGAGGGGGTCCCGCAGGGATCGGTGCTGGGCCCCCTACTTTGGAATCTCGGTTTTGACGCGGTCATGCGGCGCGTTGACCTCCCGGCCGGTTGTTCCGTAACTTGCTATGCGGATGACACGCTGGTGTTGGCAACCGGCGATGACTGGGAGGAGACAGAGAACGGGGCTGATGAGGCCGTCATCTCGGTCCTGGACAGAGTGGTGGAGATGGGCCTGGAGGTGGCTCCTGAAAAGACGGTGGCAGTTGGCTTTCACGACCGAGGAGGACCGACACCCTCGGGGATCAGAGTGAGGGTGGCGGGAGTTGACATCAGGGTGGGGACCCGGATGAAATACCTGGGTCTCATCCTCGACTCCAGGTGGCGGTTTGAAGCGCATCTTCGTGAAATAGTCCCGAGAATGGAGAGGTCCGCTATGGCGGCTTCCTGCCCAATCTAGGTGGACCTAATGATGAGGTGAGGCGGCTGTACGCTCACGTCGTCAGCTCGGTCGCCTTATACGGGGCGTCAATCTGGGCCCCAGAGATACATCGGTGCAGGGGAATGCTGAGCGTTCTACGATTCTCCCAAAGGAGGACGACGGGGCGCCTAATTAAAGCCTACCGTACCACGGCGCACTCTGTGAACACGGTGTTGGCAGGGATACCTCCTCTGGAGCTAACCGCGCAGATGCATCTGGAGGTATACGAAAAGATAGCGGAAATAAAGGAAACGAAAAGATGCCAACAAGTGTGCATTCGCACCGTCGAAAGAATAAAGAACGCCGCGAGGAAGAATCTCCACAAGAAGTGGAAAATATGGCTACCTCGGAGGGAGGGCGGCATCGTGGATGCGATATCGCCCCAACTCGAGAGATGGGTCAACGCACGTCTTGGCCTCACCTATCACGCGACGCAGGTGCTGACCGGTCATAGTTGTTTTTTGGTCGGTACCTGCGTCGCATAGGGAGGCAAACGAGCGAGAGGTGCTGGCACTGTGCCGCACTATGCGACACAACAGGCCACACACTCCGCGAATGCCCCGCGTGGACAGAGCAGAGGGCGCGCCTTACCGAGGCGATTGGAGATAAACTGTCCTGGCCCGCGATCGTACGAGCCATGATGATGGGTAGCACAAGTAGGCAGGCATTCCTGTCCTTCTGCGGCACGGTAATGTCGCGGAAGGAAACAGCCGAAAGGGATAGAGAAGGATCTCATACCCTAGGGAGCTAAAGACACACATAGCTAAATATATACACATGTGTAAGTCGTAGTGTGGATAAGACGGAAATGGGAGCTAATAGCCCACGTCATTTCCATGCGCCACGCGGGTGAGGATAAAGGGGAATCGCCGCCCGCCCCACAAAAGTGATGCAGCATGATAGGCGACGCAGGAAAGTGGTGGCACTCCTGCATCATGTGTTAAACAGAGAGGGTTGCGCTGCGGCGCGACTAGCGTGGAGCCGGTCCGGATGTACTGCAGCATCGAAGTTCCCGGACTGGCCCCAAGTATTGTTAGGATAGGGTCACTCGCTGGAGTTTTAGTGGGTATGCCACGGACCATCAGGTCTGGGGAGAGTCCCACATAACCCGTCCCTTCTCCCCGGAAGGGCGGGTATGCGTAACGCATTTCCCCAGCGGTAACAAAAAAAAAAGGCTAAGTTAGTACGTTGGGGACTCTTACCAGGTGAGGTTGTGACCGGATTATTGCCTTGATTTTAATATATCTAGCCGTTATAATATTTTTAATAATTATTTCTTACTCAAAATCACCTGAGGTGACTTACTATTTGGTCGCCACTCTATTTCTCCACCAACAGAGAAGGAAGTCTTCTTGACTATTCCAAGGTATCGGCCCTTGTCATCTTGGAAGTCCCTGATTGGTTGTCTTCCTTCCGTCCTTCGTACGGATTGGCCGTTCAGCGGAGATGATCGTGTCGTCGGGTGATGTCCCGTTGTATCGCGGTATGAGCTTATAATTAATTTGTGGAGTGGTAATTCTTGCAAATAAATCGAGATTGTCACTTTGGTGTAGCACTATTATAAAATTTATTGAAAACACAACACCAATAATTAATTAATAGGCCTTAACACTCTTCGCATTCACTCGCGTATTTCTATTAATTCGACACTCTCTCGCTTTCTTTCTTTCTATCGCGTTGTCGCGTCGCGTCGCACTTACGACTTGATGTCGGATTTCTAAGATGGCCGCTCTATGGTATGATGCAACGTTACATCAACCACTACGCACAACGTCTTTTAAAGTTAAGCGCTCGTTTAATTCGCATTTACCGTGCAACCGTGTGCATTTTTCCTGCTTTACGCCATTAATTAGAAAAACCCGCACTCTTTACAGAAAACTATTCCCAGGACAACGCCGGCAGAGCGGAAACAATTTCCTGAGGAGACGGAGAAACAACCAACAGCGGGATCCGACACGGAAAACATTCAGCCGATGAGAAGCATCCCATAGATTTATTACTCACATATATTTTATTATATCACATCATATTTTATTACAATTTTATTATTTCTATTATTATTTGTAAAAGGTTTCATCTGATAGAAGGCTGTAAGATTAAAAAAGTTAAGTAAGGTTCTAAAAGCTCTAAAAAGAGAAATTAATAATTATTTTATATGATATAAAAGAAAACCAACAAGTTTATGTTTAATAAAAATTATTTAAATGAAAAGTTGATAAAAGAAAAAGAAAAAGAGTTAAAGGATTAATAAGAGGAAAGAAAAGAATACCTCAACCCACCTAAATATCCTATCAAAGGCAATCCAATGAATTCCAGCAAAATGACCTAAAAGAAAATAAATGATTAAACAAAGAATACAAAAGATGAACGAATGGAATTAAATATAAAACTAGATAATAGAAACTTACCATAACTAGCACGCTGTGAATTTTTGGTGACCCTGAAACAAAATATAATTAAATCAGATACTTACAAGGTAAGAGAATACATTTTAAGAAAAGTTTGTTTAATATCAGTTAAGGTAATTATTTTGTGTTTAGTAAGTCACACAGATGAGGAATTAATTAATTTTGAGTTAAAATATAATAATCGAGTAATTGGAACTAAAATGATAATTAAAAGTCGAAAATAGAGTTACAAGTTGAAAATGATAATTAATTTGAGTCACAGGATAAAAGTCCAAATAAGTCAGTGAAAGACAATCCAATTAGTCGACAAACAATTTAGAGACATATAGATAAGTCATACATAACCAGAAAATGAATATGCGATTTTCATATTAGATTTAGCCAAAAGGGCAGTTTAGACGCATTTGCAGAATTATTTTGATCAACAGATTACATGTTGAAATTATTTAGACCATTAGAAGCCACTTCGGAATTATTTGAATCAAAGTAGACTATTACACAATTATTTTATATTATTCTTATCATCTAATAATTATTTGAACATGGTGAAGATCGCAAATTGATATTTGAGACAAACCCTTGATATTTGAAATAATCCGATAATTAATTCATAAATATTTAAGTAAAAGGAAATTATTCCAAGTATAAAACCAATCAAAAGTCAGAAATCCGAGTTTGGACAAGTCTACGGACCAATAGGAAACGCTTCAGGTATCAAAGGTTAATATTTCGATAATAAATTTATAAAACTACAAAAAAACATTTAATTCATGTAAAGTACATTAATTTTAGTTAATCCTATAAAGGAAAAGCATGTAAAGGCCGTGTGAATGTGTAGAACTAGAAATTAACCAGATGCGGGGAAACCGAACAGAGTAGGGAAACTTGAACACACCCTTTCTTCCTTGACATCTTGGCAGTGGCGACAGCCATCTTGCCAGTCAGTCACGAATGGACAACCGAACGGGACGGACGTCTTGAACAACGCGGCTCAAAGAATTGCGTAATACGGTGAAATTCGGTACAAACCCGGTATCTCGACATACCGTACCGTGTCCCGACGCTAATGCCTCCGGCATACCAGCGCGATGTTCGTCGCGCGCGACACGCGATATCCAATGAGTGTAGAATAACGCGAAACCCGAATAAGTGCGAAAAATCGCGAAATACGGTGAAAATTCCGTCATAACCGCTAAAGTGCGGAAATCGGCAAAAATACGTCGAAATTTCTAAACGTGCACGGCACGATTCCCGTTAAACCAACGCGTACGGTAAACGCGAATTTAGCGAGGTATTCACCTCGATACACTTTGTGCACATTGGATGATGCAACATCACGCCACCTTTGCGAGCGGCTATATTTGATAACCGCCATTCGTCGTAAGTGCGACGCGACGCGACAACGCGAGATAGAAAGAGATAAATAGATAGAAGGCGAATTCTACGGAATTAACGCGTGTGAGTGAGAAGTGTGAATGAGGGCCTGTTAAATTAATTATTGGTGTTTTGTTTGAATAAATCATTTATAGTTTGTTACACCAAAGTGCCTCGCGTGTTGTTATTCACGAGTATATCCATTCCACGAATTAAATTAATTCACCACCGCCTACCTACGGGACAACACCCGGCTGCTGAGACATCTCGACCGAAGGGCCAATCAGGACAAAGGACTGAAGGAAGGCATCCAATAAGGACATCCTATCCATAGAGGCCAATCCTTGGGACATCCACAGGACAACAACCTTCTCTGTTAGTTGGTAAAACAGAGTGGCGACCGAAAAGTAAGACACCTTAGGTGATCAATATTATTAAATAATTAATTAGAGATTCGATAACACGGAATTATTAAAATTAGAGACCGCAATCCGGTTACAACCGTACGCGTTGGCTTTACGGGAAACGAGCTGTTACCGATTTGAATCGATCTACGACGTATTTTCGTCGATTTCCGTAAGTATACGGTTATACCGGATTTATTTCCGTAATTCGCGATTTTCCGCACTAATTCGCGTTTCGCGTTAATATATCTGCGTTAGGACTCAATGCAGTATGTCGAGGATACCGGGTTTGCACCGATTTCACCGTATTACGCAATAAAATGAGCCGCGTTCGTTAAGACGTCCGTTCCGTTCGACTGCCTGTTCGTGACTGATTTGAAGATGGCTGTCGCCACTGCCAAGATGGCCAGGAAGAAACGGTGCGTTCTGTTTGCCCTGGTCGGTTCGGTGTTCCCGAATTTGGTAATATTCTAGTAAATCATTCATACTGGCCTTATAAGGTTAATAATATGATAAATAATTCGGAGATGACCTCCCCCGAACACAAAATAATTGTGGACTTCCGCTTTTTATTACTTATTTATGCGGATAATTAAACATTTAATCTGGACAATTTCAGCAACTTGTCCAAACGTTAGAAATAATTCTTTTGGCATTAAATAATTATGAAACAATTCACTTTGACTCTAAATAATTCATTTTTATCGAAATAATTGACTTTGTTACTGAAATAATTTAAATAATGCTCAATTAACAAAATCTTAAGATGCGAGTGTGGATGCACCCTAAATAATTACTGGGTGATGTGTATGATGCTTAAACGATTCTAAATAATTCCAAATAATTCGGATTAATTCCGACAACGGCTTCATTTGCCTCAAATAATTCTAAATATTCTCTGAAACATGTTTTCGAGATACTACGTAAGAAATAAACTCGCATGTCAAGTTTTAGGTCCTTCTGTAGGCTTTAACGTAACTTAATGTTATCTGTCTTAACTGGAACATCATTCTGGTAAATACTTTAAATAATTAAACTGGACTGTAAATAATTTGGAATTGATGTGCTTTAATTAATTAGTGGGTTTTTAACCTGTTTTTATGATGTTTAAATAATTCTGTTAGTCTGTCCTTGTCACTCTACTGTAAATGTCATGTCTTTTCTTTCTAACTTGTGTCTGATGTTCCAATTAATTCTGAGTGAACAAAATAATTCTAAAATGAGTAAAATAATTCGGCTTACGTGCCTATGTGATGAAATAATTGTAATAATGAGGTTTTACTAACCTTTAACTCAAAT